TCACCTGATGTCAAGCAATCAATGCCGCTCTTGACACCCACAATACCAGAGGAGTCGAAAGTGCGTTGCCAAGTATTAACTCTTTTCTTGCAGTCTTGCAGTTAATTGCTTTTATTGAGTAAGTAAAACACAAACAAACACAAAGATAATTCCATAGTTAGAGACTAAACAGGCAAAACTTACTTCTGGATATTTCAATGTACTATCATCCTCTAACAAATCTGTTTGTTGTTGTTCTATCTTTAGTACTTCTTCAGTATCCTGCAAAACAGTACAAAATAAACATTTTTACGACGGATAAGTAGGTAGGTAAGCACCTAAAATACCTAGGTAGATATTATATGTATAGGCAGGTACATAAATAAAATTTCACATTTTGCCATCCAAAACTGGGTATAACGGTATGACCTGGGTTTCTTCAAGGTCCGAATTAATGGTTGCTTATGGGTAGACGTGTTCCATCATAGGCTGCATCATCGCTTACCACCAGTTGAGTTAGTGGACAAACGTCGACGGCCCATCAAATATATTTTCATACGATATACTTATAGCGAAAATATAACTAAACCTGATAAGAGGTTTAGGAATATGTACAAATGAATATGAAATTGACATAAAATTACAAATTGACATTGAATAAAGTAAATAGTACGTAACGTAATAGATATGTAGGTATTTGTATTCAAAATATGAATATCGCTGAGCAACCTGTTGCACTAACAAAACCAATTGCGGAAATATTTAATCAGGCGCACAGATTGTAACGAAATTAATGTCTGTAATATTACTACAGAACATATCCCATATTCCTTTTATCTTTATAAAACAAATCACTATAAAATTAAACACACAAGTAACATCAATAATAAATAAGGATCTAATCATAAATATCATAATCATCATTGTCAACATCATATCGGTCATAAAACGTTTACTGCTGAACATAGGCCTCTCCTAATAACTTCGAGATAGGCCGGTTGGAAGTGGTTTAATATATATCATATGGTAGTTAGACCTACATTTCTAATAATTTTAAATCCCTATGAGGATACATGGAAATAGCTCTGCTTACCGAAATTACTCCTGTTGACGGATTACGAGCATATAAATCCATTCTATCTCGTTTAATTGCTGCTAACTCCATTTGGATCGACTTGACTTCCCCTTCCATGTCACCCAGCTGTTTTTGCTGAAAAAATGAGTTACGGACATGGAAATAAGGGGAACAAAGACAATACTAATACGAACTAATGTTGCCTTTGTAAAAGTTAAACAGTAATCTTATGAAGTTACACAAAACATACTAAAATTGCAGCTTCATCACTGTATTCAACATTTTCTGCTGTCTTCCCTTTGTTAAACGGCCAGTATTCTGATTGAGGCATTAACACTAATATATTGTATAAAAACAATCAGAAAAATATCCAATATCAATTTATATAACAAAGACTAGGTATAATGGTTACTTGTTTTCGAAAAGATTATGATTAGGAAGCAAAATATTACGAAATCAAATTAACTATACAAAATAATCACAACTACCAAGAATCTTTTAAGAAATGTCAATTACTAATCAAATTTTATTAATGGCCAGAGTTTTTGGTAATCAATTATTTAGCAAAAAGTATCTAACAATTTAAATAAAGAAGGGCTTACAACTTTTTCGATCACTGCCTTATGTTGAGAATAAACGATCGTGAACATTACCTACCTATTAATGCAAAGAAACATCTTGAGGAGAGGAGCGTAACTTTGGCTAAGTTTATTTACGCAGGAAGAACACGAACAAGATTGAACACCTTAATCAAAACGAAATTATGGACATATGGATTAATTGTTTCCGACTTGTTGCTTTAGATCAGATTGGAAACTGCAGGGAGCAGGTATGCTTACATTTGTGGATAAGGGAGGTTGGGGGGACGTCATGGTTATTGATTTATGCATCTGAAACAAACATAATAGTTATAACGTTACAAGTGACCGGCGTACGTTGTAGCTCTGCGCAATAAGACAACATACGACGTATTGGTGTAACAGAAAGGGACAATTATACATCAGCTAGTGCCGATAAAACAAACCCTGTATAGGCAGAAGTACAGACCCTACGGACGACGCCGAACTAACTAGTGATGTGAAAACATATTTATCGACTTAATTTTTTTTGAAGAATAAATAGGTAGGTACTTTCAGACTTTGGAGAAATAAAAATAAACTGAGAGTATTCCAAATTGTGTATATTCAGAACATAATTTTCTTATTGTTAAAGCATAATTTCCTATAAATTATGTAGGTAGCTAGGGTAAGTTTGTCTTTATGCACTAGCATCTGCAAGTGACTTTACTCGGGTTCCGTTCTTACAAAGTAGGTACCCTATTTCAGACAATAATCTACTCTACGCATAATTATACCTATAATGATGGTAGGGATGGTACCTGGCAGGTACCTAATTTTAACAGGTAGGTACCGAAATTTTTGCAATGTTTGGCGAATACCTACCTATAACGCAACAGGTTACTTGTCAACCAGGGGTAGGTACTGCTAAATAGGGTGGTGATTGCAACGGATTTTCATTTAACTTAAGTGTACCTAAATTACAAGCAATAACTATTTGATAATAATAGAATATAACTTACCTAATCATATAAATCGTACCTAGGTACTACAGAGGATCACAAACTTTATCGATATCGATAATCTGCTTCATTACCATCTCTTAAGTAGCTTCACAATTTTACTGCACTGTAAATCATCGCCAGTCAGGAATCAGTGAATCAGGTGAATAGATTCTCGAGAGTTAGCTATTTTAATTTTTTTGTGCGAGGTTTAAAAATTCACCGACTTAAAGTGGCAATTATCCGTAACACGGATAATCTGGTGTTAATATAAGAAAGTTTTTGAATCGAACTTTAATCGTCAACAAGGGAGTTGGACAATCCATCAAGTGGTCGGCCATATTTTTCGACGGTAATGTAAGTATGTACCTACTTGCTTGACTTGTACCTACCTATGTAATAATTGGTTTTAATTTGACATCAAGATATGATATTTTATTATTTTCTTGTGTATTAGCCGTCCATTCGCAGCTTCGGCGGATTCCGCCCGTGTGGTGAAGAAAAAAAAATAGCCATAAGCCCAGAAGGTTCCTACTTCCTACCTACCTACTCTCCACTTCTTCGGTCTCCTAACTAGCTTAAGACTTGGTGCACTTTGCCATAAACACAATAATAGGAAGTTATTATGAGTTCTCAGCGTAAGAGATGTTATGGTTTTTTGAGAGGGAAAAATCGTGGAATGACTAAGTAATCCGGCCCCTGTTTAGGCAAAAGGTAACTAAACATTATCTCCGTCTATCTCCTGCTTGACCTGCAAACCCGGCCGGACAGCGGCCCTAGCAGTCCGATGGCTCTTTGAGGCGCACGCGCGCTGTAGACACGGGCGGTGCTCAGCCACATCGTGCACCACCACCGTGTCTTCGGAGTGGATCATACATACACACTTACACAGTTCTTACCGACACACAAGCGTTTCCTTTCGCTGAATACGACACAGCTATCTCCCGAAACATCTGTATCCAGTAAATACTTAAGTAGGTACGTAAAAACTCTAAGGTTAGGACGTCGGTGAGGCTTCTGTCTACTTTAGCCACCCCTTAAAGGGGGAGTATGCTATTGCGGACTTTTAGACCTTTCTATCGTGTAGGTACCTAGGTGTGTGAATGAACTGGAGGCCCAATCCTAATCCTTATCACCTATCGTCCTATCCCCCTATCCTCATGGCCGGCAAACAACGCACTTGTAACCAGTGATGTACCTATGTACAAAATACCCAATACAAAGTAGGTATCTGAAATACAAAATGTAAGATACTTTAAAATTAAATATTTCAGATACCAGATACAAAATAGAATTGACATTGGTATCTGAAATAAAATAGGTATCTTTATTTTCCCATACATCTCCAAGCGGTCACCGGTGACCGCTCTCCACTAACTACATTATAGACCTTATGTCCAAGGTTTAGGGACTACTTTTGTGATGAAATTCAACGGGTTTTTTTCTAGGAAAGTTCTAGGAAACACCTGAATGAATTGAAATTTTCTTATTATAAAGGACAATGCTCACGAAGTATGAAAAAAATACCCAGGCTTGGTGCAAATGAAACTCATCTCAGATTTTTAGTGTGATCATAATAAATGCTACATCAAGAGCATCATCGAAATCGACAGCTAAATGGAAAAAATTGCTATGTTATTGGCTCATTTCTTTTCATTTGCGCCAATGTTGGGTTTTGTAGAGCATTGTCCTTTAAAAATGTGAGAAATCTTAGAATCTGATCACATTTTTATTTTTGTTGATGAAAAGAATTCTAAAAGTATCTTATCCGAAAAATAATGTATGTACCTATATAAAATGGAATTTTAAAAAAGTATTTCAAATTCAAGATCGAAATACATAGCTGTACTTTGTATCTTTTAACTGTACCTAGGTATTTCAGATACCTACTGTAATTCACATCTCTGCTTGTATTGCGATCGCGAGTAATTATACTTAAAACGCGCAAAAATAGTTAGGTATGGTAATAACTAAGTACTGAAAGCCAAATATTATTCGACCAAATATTAATGATATTTTAATTTATTATCCTTATATTACAAAATGTGTTGATTTACAATTTGGAAACCTTTGAAATGATTAGTGAAGGAATCACTCCTCTTGAAGTTATTGCATCAATTGAAAAAAAATTATAATCTATGTATATTATCAATTTTTTGATATCATATCCACGGTATGCGGTACCAATGGGTACCGTGATTTGAATAAAAAATGTACCTGCATTACAAATGCGCTCTGTGGACGGTAATCACCTAATAAGCGCCTTTTCTTCCTAGGCTAGCGCTAAGCATTATTTTATTTTATCTTTGGCGAAGTTTCATTAGGTGTGATTTTTTATCTGTGGTTTAGTAACTCGCCGTCAGCCCGCATGTCACGTCACGTCAAGCGCTTGTACGTACTTCGTTTCCAATGTGATTATTTTATCTGGAAATTTATTTTTTATTAGTTTTGCGTGTGTTATTGATACACAATGTGGCATAAATTCAGTACTTTATGTGATAGTTGTGCGTTTTTATTTTACAAGCAGGAATTCGTTGAATTTGCCAAATATCTATGTAAGAATAATTAAAAATATTTGAGGCATTTGAAAATGGCATTGCCCTTAGACTTTGCGGACGTGGAGCTCCGCAGTTCAGTAATTTTTAAGTCTTAATTGGTCAGCTAGGATCTCAGACATTAAAGAAGAAAAAGTGAAAAAAATCAATACGTTGAATACATTTATTTTGTGCCTGTTTATATGGATCAAACTAAAAAGTTGTTGGTCTGGTTTTATTATTTATTTTATATAATTACCCGGTAATTTTATTGTTTAATTTCACTTCACTTTTCTAATTAACAACCTAGACTGTATTTTTGATTTGGCCTCAATAATATAAATTCAGTTTTTCTTAAATAATTAATGAATATAAGTGTTGAACTTCACCATTTGTGATTGCAGAAATAAATATGTTAAAAATATAATGCAAAGTTAGTAAGTGAAGAAATATCAAGATCCAAAATGGATATGAAGATAGAGTTCAATGACACTGATGAATCCCCGATAGTTCCTCCTAACAGTATAGGCGCATGGAGTATTAAGAATGACACTTCAGTGCTGATCACAGACCCACAGCCGAGTGGATCTCATAGGAAAATTATTAGGGTAAGTCTATGTACATAACTGTATACCATCATCATCATCATCATCAGCCTATAAGTGGCCATTGCTGAGAAAATGCCTCTTCTCACACAGAAGGTTTGAGCATTAATCACCAAGCTTGCATAATGCGGGTTGGTTACACCAATGGTTTCACCATTAATATCAAGTCATGTGTAACCTTAATTCTTAACATAAATATCTTTTGGTTAATTACTTCTTTTAATAGATTATCCCAATTTCAGAACACTACTTATTATAGAGGTAGCATTTTATCAAAAATGTTTATCATTAGCAAAGCTATTATTTTTATCTAATCTGACTTAAATATGTATAGGTACTGATATTCCGTAGGCTTAGATGTTGCCAAGTTTGTTCAATGCTAATAAAAACACATTTCAGAGTGTTTTTAATTAGTATTGAGACATTATAGAAAATAGCTATATTTTGGAAAACATATTTAGGAAAAAATATCTCTGATTAGTTATTACTAAAACTGTGTGAAGGTGTGGTTCATGTTTTTAGTATTTAGTCTGCAATTATATACTTTTAAAGAATATAGACATTTACAAAAAGGAAAACCATTATTTAGTGGATGAACTGCTATTAAGAATAAATAACCAAAATTAATTAAATTCCTTGTTGAAAATAACTTTTAGGTACCTATACTTTGTTTTGCAGAAAATTTGTACAAATCATGTTTATGATGCATATGATAGTAAACAACTGTGTTTAAGATTATAATTTCTTTTTCAGCGATGGAATCGTTTGTCGAGATTACAACGATCAATAGTTTATGCACTATTCGTGATAGCAGGAACTGTCCTAGTGATGTTTTATATCTCGAAAGTTTCTGCAGCTAATGTAAATAAGATAAATAATAGTGAGTTAGCCCAAGTAAGTATTTTTTAAACAAAGACTCTTATATAATGTTCTTTATGTGTTTTACTAACATAATACTAAGCTTCAGGGTCCATGAAATGTTTCATGTCAGTACATGGAGCCACTAATAGTCCATAATTAGATCCTTTCGAAATCTAAACTCTAAACAAAACTTGAAGCTCAATTCACCAAGTTTCTACTTGATACTAATGTTGCTAACAGTGTATTCATATGTAAAAGTTGTGCTGTGAAATGCTGAGTTTAACATTGTATAGAAGTATTCAACAAATTTGGCATTCACAGTACATTTCCTGCTTCTATTTAAGATAATATTGTAGGTATGTACTACTATACTGAACACTCGTCTGTGGTATTATTTCCACATGCGCTTATCTAAAAATTTGTTAACTACTGTTTTAGAGATAATATTACTATGCTGTGAGTAATGAACTAATGTTAATGTTACTAACGTTTTAAAAAGTTGTAACTGTATAGTGACATGTATGTTTTATTACTGTTTTTAGGAAACACTAAAAAATTTGTCTCTAGTCAATGAACAAGTAGCTGAGGCCGCTATATCAAAAAAGACTGTTATAAACGATGAGAAAGCTGAAAGACCTATGTTTACAGGTATAGTACAATTGATAAATAATTGAATTGATAAGTATAAAAACATTACGGGGGTTCTAAAGCAGGATTTTTAAATAGTAAGACCCTGACACTCGCCTCATTCAAGGCGAGAGAAGTAATTGGATGATTTTCCTCCCGTAAAAAAGCAAACAAACATTGTAACTATTGTAACCGATGGCTTTTTCAATTTATGTGCGTGATAAGGATTTTAATTGTATGCCTGTTATGACTAACTGAAAACTATCGGTTTATGAAACCAATTAATTTTTTAAGTTTTAATAACAACTGTGAAAATAGTGTTCAGATATACTTTAATACATTTTTGGCGTTTTTAGGACCTATCAATGCTCGTCAATATGCCGTTGTGGAGAGCTTCAAACATGCTTGGCGTGGTTATAAGGAGCATGCGTGGGGCCACGATAATTTGAAACCAGTCTCTGGGATGGCCTTTGATTGGTTCTCTCTTGGACTTACCATTGTCGATTCTTTAGACACTGCTTACATTATGGGACTGAATGACGGTAATTTGAATACTGTAGTATTCGTCAGATTCTGTTGTTAATAAATATGATTTGAGGTCTATGGTTCGTGACGACTGCAATAGTTTTAAAGAGTTAGAAAATGTCAATCTATAAATCCAACATATGAAGTAATTTTAGATTTCCTTCAACCAATAGTCAATAGTTATTTTTTTAATTTCTCAGAATTTGAAGAAGGCAAACAATGGATTCAGAACGAACTGGTTTTCACAAAGAATAAAGATGTTAACTTCTTCGAAGTGACCATTCGTGTTTTGGGAGGTTTGCTGTCTTGTTACCATTTTACACAAGATCGTATGTTCCTGACTAAAGCTGTGAGTATTAAAATTCACACAGTAACACAATACTTCTACAAATAGAAATAGAAATAGTAATGAAACATGGTAGGTGCCCACTATAAAATAGACTCTTATTTTAGATTGACCTCGGAGACCGCCTGATGGCTGCTTTCTCCTCACCTTCCGGTATACCGTACTCCGACGTGAATCTTGGTGAAAGAACAGCTCATGCACCAGAATGGTCTCACTACAGCACTACTGCGGAAGTGACTACAGTGCAATTGGAGTTCAGAGAGCTGTCTCGTGCCAGCAATAATCCTGGATTTGAGGTGGGTTTTGAAAAGTAGATTTTATTGTTCCTTCAGGTTTTTCTTCCAGGTTTTTGTGTAGACCACTGGTTTTTGAACAGGAACAATTAAACAGTTATGTACGGATATTAGGGTTATCAGAACAAATTACCATTTTGTACTATCATCTTAAATGACTACTATAATATACAGGTATGTACATAGGTCGGCCACTTCATTGCTACACGTGTCTTCTACTAACACGTGATGATAATCGTGCTATAGCGGGATATAGTGTATGTAGGTATTTGTCGAAATCTTTTTATATGTCATTTTTTTAC